AAAAAAAAAAAAAAAAAAAAAAAAAAAAAAAAAAAAAAAAAGCAACCCAACCACTACAGATAACTACAGAGCAGAGTTAACTGCCTAAATTAAAAAAGAAACTTGTTTCAGGCCAGGCGCAGTGGCTCAAGCCTGTAATCCCAGCACTTTGGGAGGCCGAGGCGGGTGGATCACAAGGTCAAGAGATCGAGACCATCCTGGTCAACATGGTGAAACCCCGTCTCTACTAAAAATACAAAACATTAGCTGGGCATGGTGGTGCGTGCCTGTAATCCCAGCTACTCAGGAGGTTGAGGCAGGAGAATTGCCTGAACCCAGGAGGCGGAGGTTGCGGTGAGCCGAGATCGTGCCACTGCACTCTAGCCTGGGTAACAAGAGTGAAACTCCATCTCAAAAAAAAAAAAAAGAAACTTGTTTCTCTGAAATAAAGTGAAATTCTTCTAAACCACCTGGGAAGTGCAGCAGCCTGGCTTCTGCCGGCCCTGTCCACAATGAGCATGTTCTTTACACAGGGAGAGCCTTTTTGGCACTTTGTGCTGACCTTTCCTTAGAACCCCCCTGTTGATTCTCTCCTTATGGCCCCTCTCCCGCCCATATCCACTGGACACTATGCACGGAAGGGCAGGGCAGGACGGGCTGGAAGAGGCCGGAGGTTTCTATCAGCGCCACTGACAGGGTCTCAGAAATGCGTTGTTGTGCGTGCCTTTTTGCTCCATTTCTCTGGAGACACTCAGGCATGACTGCAGCTCTGGTTTCATTTCTGTTAACCAGAGGGCGGCACTCATTCCACAGCCTTCGAACAATCTGGCTGATTCTGAGTGCCTGTCCTTGGGAATGGTGGATGACAGAGGCTTTGGCTTTCTAAATATTTCTTTCTTTCTTTCTTTATTTTTTTTGAGGCAGAGTTTCACTCTTGTCGCCCGGCTGGAGTGCAATGGTGTGATCTTGGCTCACCACAACCTCTGCATCCCAGGTTCAAGCGATTCTCCTGCTTTAGCCTCCCTAAGTAGCTGGGATTACAGGCATGCGCCACCACGCCTGGCTAATTTTGTATTTTTAGTAGAAATGGGGTTTCTCCATGTTGCTCAGGCTGGTCTCAAATTCTCAACCTCAGGTGATCCGCCCACCTTGGCCTCCCAAAGTGCTGGGATTACACGCGTGAGCCACCGCGCCCCACCTTCTAAACATTTTCTTGACCTACTGGCCCAAGCCCGAAGCTCACAGTGGCAACATCAACTTTAATCTGGGTCCTGGGCTCCTAAAACCAATTCAAGGCCAAGGAGTAAAGATCCTTTTTTTTTTGGGACGGAGTTTTGCTCTTGTTGCCTAGGCTGTGCAATGGCACAATCTCGGCTCACTGCAACCTCCGCCTCCCGGGCTCAACTGATTCTCCTGCCTCAGCCTCCCGAGTAGCTGGGATTACAGGTGCCTGTCACCATGCCTAGCTAATTTTTCATATTTTTAGTAGAGATGGGGTTTCACTATGTTGGCCAGGCTGGTCTCGAACTCCTGATTTTAGGTGATCCACCTGCCTCCACCTCCCAAAGTGCTGGGATTACAGGCATGAACCACTGCACCAGGCCAGGAGTGAAGATTCTTACATTGGAGACTCCAAGAGGCAGACCCAAATTAGAAATAATTTATATCAACCCTCCCATTTGAGAGGAGAAAAGTGAGGCCTCTGGTGAGAAGGTGAGTTAGTGGTGGTCTTCTGGCTTCACATGCAGGGGCTTTGCTCCGAACCCTGTTCTCAGCCACTTCCCCAGCTCTTGGGGCCAGGGTTCCAGCTGACCTTACCCAGCCCACACACCACTCCGAAGACACGTCCTAGAGGACGGGGACGTTCAGGGATGGCGAGGCCCTGAAAACAAATGGGTTATGTCCAGATCCCAGGCAGGGTGAGAAGCAGAGGCTTGCTCTTAACCCCTCCAAGGGTGGAAAGTGCCTAAGAGTGCTGGTCTGAGGACTCCGTGAGGAACAAATGGATACTGGGTGTCCAGTGCCTTGTTAGTTTCCTGCCTCTGATCTGGACAGTTTAACCTTTTACCAGCCTGCCCCTTTTCAGTAGGATCTGGGGTTTTGGTTCTTTCCTTTCACTCAGACAACTTAAACTCTCAGAACCTCAGGGATCCTTACCGAAAGTGGGGGTGACAGGACCTACCTCCTGGTAATGATATTGTGAGTGGCAGGCATTGAATGAGTTAAATGAATGCAACGCTGGGCCCATAGTAAATGTTCTAGGTGTCTTTTTATTTGTATTCCAGTCACTGGGTAGCGGGGCTGCAGAATCTCTGCAATACGACCACATGCCTTAGGAGAATAACCACCGAGCACCGACAGGGAGACAGCTGTAACCTCTCCCAGCGGTGCAGGTCCTTTCTTCCCTGCTAGGGAATCCTGGACAATGCTAGTGGATTTCCAAGCCTAGGACAGGGAGGCTGAGGACCTGGAGATTCACTCTTAGAACTTAGGCTATGGTGAGCATCTGGCGAAACCAGTCCACGTGCTGGACAGACCAGGGCAAAGACAGGCCAGTTGGATCGTCACTCCCCTTCCTATCTAAGAGGACTTTGGGTAAATTGAGGCCAGAAACATCAAGGGACTTTCCAAGAGTTGGTGGCTTAGCTGGAGCAATACAAATGTTTAATGAGTACTTACTAAGCGCTTTACCCGTACTGAATCATTTAATCCTCCCATCATCCTATGAGGTATTATCCCTAGTCACAGGAGGCCCAGAGCTTGCGAAGGTCATACCACGAGTCAATGGGGCAAGGGCTGACAACGGCACCAGGGCTCGCGTGGTACTTGGGACCCATCGGCTGCACCACCCAGCCTCCTCCCTGTGGCTCACAGCCCAGCTTCCCCGTGCGTAGGATCTGGAAAGAAGTACCCCACCTCAGTCTACAGAGCAATGTTTCATTTGATCCTGCTACTGAGCCCCCCTTTCCGCCCTCTAGGTTTCCAAGGGGGAGTAGCAGGGGCGTGGCGCTTCTTTCCCCGCCCGGCAGCCCCCCCGACCCCGGGCCCCATTACAGCGCGTGGGCGGCGATCCAGCAGGAGGAGGCGCAGATCCACAGGCCGAAGGAGATGCAGACGCGGTGGCGGGCGAAACAGCGGTCCAGGTAGTCCCAATCCCAGAGCGCGGGCGCGGGGCTGGGCGCCTCCCCCATGGCGCGGCTGGGCGCGCTCCGCGGGGCTGGGGACCTGGGCGCAGCCTCCCCCGCCGCAGGCAGCCGCGAGCGCCGGCCGCCCCGAGCCCGCTTTTCTGGGTTCAGTTCTGCCGCAGCGGTCCTGGCCGAGCGCACCGACCGCACTGACCGCGGGCAGAGAAGGGCGCGCTCCCGGACGCGGGCGGCGGCTGCGAAGGCGCCGGGGAAAAGTTTCCGGGACCGCGCGCTCCCCACCCCTCGCGCTATTGTCGGGGGTCGGCGGGGAGGAGGCCGCCCCCCAGCGGCGGGAGCCGGGAGCTGCCGGGGCACAAAGACTGCAGCCCCCTCGGCGGGGCCCGCGGCGGCGCCAGCTCCCCGCGGACCTCTTCGGGGTCACCCACCTCCAACATCCTGGCCGGAGCGGGGCAGGCGGCTGGGCTCGGGGAGGACTGGGTCCCTGCTGGTCACTGTAAGGCACGGCGTCCCTTCCGGCATTCGGCACCTTTCCCGAGCCAACAATGCAATTAGTTGCGCTGCTGAAGCGCCTGGGTGCTGGGATCCCAAGGTGAATGGGGCCTGGTCCTGATACCGGACAGGGCGCAATAAAAAAGGGTGGGGCGCAAGGCCAGGAAGGAGGAAACTAACATGCCGGAGAACAAATACCCCCACACCCGCCTCGCACTCTCCTTTCTGGAGCTGTCCCCGGCACCGTCCGCCCCCGGGCAGTCGCCCAAGCCTGGCTTCTGGATGTCATCCTAGACCACAGCCCCCACAGCCAAGGAGCTGCTTCTCTCTGGAACCGGCCGCCTCCTGTCCAGCCACATGGCGCACAGTTCAAGTACACAGGGCTGTTTTTCTTGAGAGCAAACTATTATTGTAATTTTTAAATCTCCTTGTTGATTTTAGTAAGTTTGCTTAAAACAAGACATGACTTGAAAAAATTATGTCTACAGAAGGATTGAAAAAAATCATTTAATTAAAAAAAACATACAGCGTTATGGAGATATTATTTATATGCTGTAAACTTAGTGCTTTTAAAATGTACAATTCCGGCCGGGGTGCGGAGGCTTACGCCGGTAATCCCAGCACTTTGGGAAGCTGAGGCGGGCGGATCATGAGGCCAGGAGTTCAAGACCAGGCTGGCCAACGTGGTGAAGCCCCGTCTCTACTAAAAAAAATACAAAAATTAGCCAGGCATGGTGGCAGGCGCCTGTAATCCCAGTTTCTCTGGAGGCTGAGGCAGGAGAATTGCTTGAACCTGGGAGGTGGAGGTTGCAGTGAGGTGAGATCGCACCACTAAATTCCAGCCTGGGCAACACAGCAAGACTCTGTCTCTAAATAAATAAATAAATGTACTTTTACACCAAACTGTATTAGGAGGTGGAGCCTTTTAATGGTGATTAGGTTATGAGGGTGGACACACAGCAGGAACCAGAAAGCAGGCGCTTCCACCAAATCTGCAGGCACCTTCATCTCAGACTTCCTAGCTTCCAGAACTGTGAAAAACAAATCTGTGTTATTTACACGCCACTCAATGCAAAGTATTTTGTTATAGCAGCTCAGATGGACTAAGACAGGCATTGTATTACAAGCTGGGGACACTATTGAGTGAAACAGACATGGGTCCTACCTTCATGGAGGTTACAGTCCAGTAGGAGAGAGAGAAATTAAGCATGCAACTGGCGGGGCACTGTGGCTCATGCCTGTAATCCCAGCAATTTGGGGGGTGGAAGGCTGAGGCGGGGGAACCACTTGAGCTCTGGAGTTTGAGATCAGCCTAAGTAACATGGTGAAACCCCTTTTCTTTGTGGCACCGAAAATTTACATATAACATAAATCCAAGGCCGGGCGCGGTGGCTCACGCCTGTAATCCCAGCCTTTGGGAGGCCGAGGCGGGTGGATCATGAGGTCAAAAGATCGACACCATCCTGGTCAATATGGTGAAACCCCGTCTCTACTAAAAATACAAAAAATTAGCTGGGCATGGTGGTGCGTGCCTGTAATCCCAGCTACTCAGGAGGCTGAGGCAGGAGCATTGCCTGAATCCAGGAGGCGGAGGTTGCGGTGAGCCGAGATCGCGCCATTGCACTCC